TCCAAATCCTTATATTATGATATCGTAGTGACTTTAGCATCCTAAGCACTAAGTAGGCAATGTAAAATCATATTAAATTTTTTAGAATTAGAAAGTTCTCTACCTAATACATTTAAGGATGTCCTTATATATAAAATTCTATTGTATAATATATATTGTATCACTATGTTTCATGCAAAAAAGTTCATATTCATCTAGTAGAATGTGTAATCTAGATTATTTGACTTCACTAGTTCCCTCATATGTGATGCACAGTCTATCCCATACCTCTTTTCTTATAGTACAGGTAGATACTCTCATATAATCCTTTAATTTCAATCCACAAAAAAACTAATATAAATTTTAGCACATAATTGAGCAAGCACTCTACCCTCATGACTCTATTCAGTGAAAGGAATATAAGTTTTGACTCCGTTAGCTACTCGAGATGGAAGTGAATAACTAGTTTAAAACATATGCCAAATTTCAAATACAATGGATTGCAGAAATGTAAACATAAAAATTTTCCAAAAATCAAAAGGAATAATTTTAAACAATGGTGGTTGGGTTATTTAATAACCCTTTATAGTATTTTTATTTCCAAATTGTGCCATTAGATATTTACTTGGAGATTTTAAAATAGAGAATTCAAAAACTAGCTCTAATACAACTTAAATGTTTAGGGGGTTGTGAGACTTCAATGAATTATCCCTTAGCGCACCTAGAGGGGGTGGGGGTGAATCATTACTTTTCAAAATATATATATATAGTAACAAAAAAATCTTTTTTAATGCCAGAAAGCAATCTGAAAGAGTAAATAAACACATGCCAAAGCAATTCAATGTTTAAAATATTTTTTATTTTGAGGTAAAAATATATCAAGCAAATATAATTTTTTTTTTACTAAACAACAATTCTCCCTAATTACTATTTGTAATAAAAGATGAAATTCATGTAGGAAATTTAAAAAGCAGAAATAAAATTCCATTAAAGTAAAAAAAATAAGAAAGAGGGCACAAAAGATTTTATCGTGGTTTGGTCAACATTAACAAATGACCACTCCCCAGTGTCCTCTTCTTCGGGTATTGTACTAACACAATAGTAACTCTACTTTTTACCATGACAGCAAATAGAAGAAACCCTTTAAAGAATTATTTCCACCAAACACGATGTGGCAAAGAACCCAAAGCAATGTCATCTCTTAGTGACGGTAACAGACCTCCAATCCTTCTTTACCCTCCTAGTCATGGAAGAGAACCCAAATCATTTTTCACCCTCCTAGTGAAGGAAGAGAACCTTAGATTCTTGACTTTGAAGATTTTCTCCAAAGAGAATCTTCAATAACTCACTAAGGCCATAGGTTAAAGCTAGGTGCAGTGTTGTCTAGAGCAAACAAGTGAATAACCCTCACACACCTTCCTCACACAAAACCTCACCTTCTTCTTCCTCTCTAAGCCTAAATCCTCTCAAGAAAATTTCCTTAGAGTTCCTTCAATAGAAAAAGTCATTTTGAAAAAGACATCAAAATGATGCTTATGTATGAGGCATTAAAAAACCTTAATTTTAAATTGGATGTCTTTCATCATACATTACATTCTTGGCTCATATGGTACAATCAATTCAAAAATAAGACACATCTAGTACAATGAATCAATCATTCAAATGAATTGTTCAAATTTAGCAAATATATCGTATAGTATGATCATAATTTTGTACGATATGGTTAGTTTAATTCCTCTCTTATTTGTACAAGTTAATTATCAGGATAATTAGAATCCAACTTTGTCGATTGTACGATATGATTCACATTGTATAACAATGTTAGTTCAATATCAATAGTTCTTACAATATGATATAGATTTTGTGCAATACAATTAGTTCAAAATTTAAGGTTTTTGTTAGGTACGATCTCTAGGAAGACAAAATTTTGTCTCTATCAATCATGTGGTATAATCTTGACCATAAAGTACTGTTGGCCATATTTATTAAACTTTAAATTAATTTACTAATTACTATGGATAATTTAAGTAAAATATTTAATATCATATAGTATGATTAATTCAAAATTAAATTTTTTTAAATTTTTGCTTAATTTATCTAATGGCTATGGTTTACAGATCAAAACAAATTCTATAGTATGATCTGCATCATATAGTATAATTAGTATTAGAAATAATGATTTAATTAACCATTATACTTCTTTTTAATATAGCAGATAGTATATTTTGATCATATTCATACTGCATGATTTGTTCAAAAAATTTTAATCTTAATTTTGCTCACTCTCTTGTGTCTGTGTGCACCATCGCTAATTTTTCATACACCATTTCATGGCTAGACTCAATAAATAAAATATGGATGAATTTTAATAATAAAGAATCTTTTGAATGACATCATATTATACTCAAACTTATATCTTGAGTAATCTTGAGTGGTTTATGATGTACCAAAAAAGTTAATGCGCGCAAACAAAAATAATATCAATTTATATATAAGGAGAAATAAAACATAAATCAATAATATTTGTTATCATTAAAATAACAAGTTAGGGAACTTGAATTTCAACAATTAGATATTTCATTTACTCTTTTATAGTGTTAGGGGTCCCAAGACTCCTAATATTATTGGCCCTTCAAAAAGATATCGACTCACTTGGCTCTCCCCAATCATCACATCCCCTTACATGCTTACCTTGCTTGCTTAAAGCTCGGGATGTTACTTTTAGTTGAAGAAGAGATGGGAAAAATAATTCCTTAGCCTCATCACCCTAACACTAGCATTAAAACTTAAGGTATAAATAAAAGAGGGGTTCCCCAAACCTACTAAAATAGTGTCCCTAATGATATAGGTTAAGGAAGTATAAATTAAATTTTCCACATCAATAGTACACCCAACCTGAATTGCATAGTTTAGAATAACATACTCTTAGGTGACTTCACTAATGTTCATTTTGAGTTAAAGGTGGGTAGAAATGAAATAGTACCAAGATTTTTAAGTTTGAGTAAGGAAGGTAGAAAAGATATTAATGAAAGTCTACTCTTCAAAGTAAAAATCTTTTAACTTGAACAAGTGGTTAATGAGAAATGAATTAAGGGAACCCACTTTTCTCTCACATAAAATTTATTATCTACAACCTTATAATGTAATTAATTGCATTATGAGGTGAATCCTACTCACTATAGTTTGCATGACAGGAAGACTAGTGATTTGAAAACCATGCTCCAAGATAAAATTTTTAGTGACTAAAAACTTAGCAAACTTACCCTAATTTTTTGAAGAAATTTGTATATGCTTGTCCTAAGATGAAGGGGATCGCTTCTAACTAGACATTTTTGGGGCAATTACATTATAAGTAATGAGGCTAAAAACACTCAAGAGCAAGAGAGTTTAGGAGGGAATAATAAAATGAGTGAAAATAAAGAATTCTTATTTAAAAACATGATGAGGGATATTGGGCTATGGGGATTACATCTACAATACTAAAAACAAATAAAGTAATAGTTGCATCAACCTGACGTACACTCCAACAGGAAGGGGTATGTAGCATAACTGTGCTTGGTTTTGGAAACTAAAGAATCACTTCAAGCGTGTGAATCTGCTATGGTATTTACACATACGAGTGTTGTGATATTTGAAAAGACTTATTCTATAGCCATATAAATGAAATAATAATGATTTTAACCTAACACCAGGGTGCTAGTAATAATGTTATAGTGTTGACCAAAGTGAAAAAATAGAAAAGTTAGGTTAGTATAGTTACTTTTTAAATTATTAGAGTTGACTTATGAATTTGTGAACTAATGCTGCAGTGCTCGAATATTTAGCATTGAGGCACTGTATGAGTAATCTTAAGTGATATTGTGTTCATGCAGATACCATTGTAGTGGTTCAAATAAATATTTATTCGAAGTGCTTAGGGTTATAAGGCCATTTTTAATTATTCAATGTTCATCATGAGAAAGTTGTGGTGCTTTATTCCCATGCACTGTAACACTAAGTCAATTTTTAGCACCTCAATTTTTTTCTCAGGACTTAATCATAACTTTGATTAAAATATAATATAGAACATACAAACAATGCAAAAATATTTTAAATATTAAAACTTAAAATATAAAAAAGGAAAATTATAACAAATTATAAAGCACAAAAAAACACAAGGTTGGGTTTCCTCCCAAATTGTGCTAAGTTTATAGACTTCAACAAGACTTGCCTAGAGTTATCAATTTGGTTGGGGTACATCACTACCACTCCTAAGTTGTTTTCATTAGATTCTTTTACATTATCTTTAAGTTAACTTCAATATTGTTTGGGAGAGATCCAAGAGGTATACTACAAAAAGATTTTGCAAGCTATCCAAATTAAGTATCCATGTTTTCAATTGAAGTAGCATTACTTTGCAATTGAGTTCGTAATTTAATCACTTCCTCTTCCAAAGTGTCTTTTTACTCCCATACTAGTTATTTTGATTAAATCCTGGATTGTAAAAAATGTTTAGGATTATTCCACACAAGTTACGGAGGATTACTCCAACCTCCTTGTTGATTATGTTGTCCTAAATTCTACTGATTTTATCCAGTAGTATTATTTGACCAACTAAATTTAGGATGGATCCTTGAACTTGGATTGCATGTACTGGAAAAAGGATTATTTTATCTTCAAATGAAATTCACATTTTTAATGTCAAAAGAACAAGTATCCTTAACGAAATTCAAGTGAGTATCCTCCAATTATATAAATGAATTAGATCTTGAGTTGTCTCTAATTGTATCTAATGTTTTTTTACATAACAGTTACATGAGTATTAAGAATTGATAAAGCTTCATATTCATAGACTCTAGCCACTCTCTTAAGTTTCACCCTATAAGCACGCCATTGAAAATTATTAATAGCCATTTATTTTATTATTTTCATTGCATTCTTAAATGGCTTAAACATCAAATATCCTCCACTTATAGAATCTATTATTGACTTAAGAGATCATAATAATCCATTAAAAAATATAAATAACCATCCAATCAAAAAAAGCATGGTGAGGGCATTTCGTAAACATCTCCTTAAATCTCACCCAACCTTTATAAATTGATTCACCTCAAAATGGGAAAAAGAAGTTATATCATTTATAAGTTTAGTAGTTTTTAAAGATGGGAAATACATAGAAAAGAATTTGTATGCCAGCTCATTCCAAGTGGTTATAGAGATTGGGGGAAAAGAAGTTAACCACATTTTAGCTTTGTCCTTTAGAGAAAAAAGGAATAGTCTAAGTCGATGGCATTATCACTAACACTATTATACTTAAAAATTTCATAGATTTTTATAAAATTGGTTAAATATAAGTTAGAATCTTCAAATGAAGTTCCCCCAAATAGAGATTTCTAAACCATTTGCATAATGGAATATTACAATTCAAATTTATTAGCCTTAAAAATATGTTATTAATGCTTTGTTGCATTTCTTCAACTACATGATTAGCACACTCCCTGATTATTTTTGCATAATCTTGATCTTAAACTCGGTCAGACATGATTAAAACTTTGTTAGATTTTTAAATTTGTATATGCATTCTTTCTATTTTTGGGTCAAATAATAAGAGTACCTTATTAGATCTACCAAGCATACAATGAAATAATAAAATATAATTTATTTTTAAAAAAAAAATTAATAAAGAAATAAAGATAAAAGATACAAGTAGATCTAATATACACTTATTTCAATAATATAGTACATTACAATAAGCACATTACATTCCTAACAATCTCACAAAGAACTTTATGTGGAGCTTATAATATGATTAGTTAATTGTGAGCTAATGTGAAACTCGTTGAATTGGAAATATGCTTAGATTTATTTTGATATTAAAATTATAATAGCCAGCTAATCTATTTAAGTATACATGCTAAATAAAGTTATAAAGTGATAGTGTAGTATCAAACCCACTTGGAAGTTCTCTACTATACTGCAACAAACTACTATTATTTACTTTAATTATCTTAATTTATCCTACTGAAATGAAAAATGAAGTTTTTGAGTTTCTAGCATGAAATAAAAATATTAAATATAGTTGAAAAAATTTTAATAAACTATTTTGAATGGATGCATGTAAATAAAATATTTTTCCTAGAGAGACTCTTAATTGTAGATGTGGATCAGAGCATATACATCCCAATATCTCTGTCGAGCTTGTAGTGAAAGGATTGATTTTTTTGTCTTCCTTTAGATTTTCTATCTCAATAGAGCCAAGAATATTCAAATATTATTTGTCTAGGCATGTCAATATTCAATATTAATATTCCAATTTATTCTCACATTCTTTTATAAGGGCTATACATCACACTAGGTTCTATCTACACACTTGGCCATTATATGCATTAAATGAATAATGGGAAATATTAAAATTTCAATATTTATATTATAGAATAAGAGTCTACATTATTACTTAATTTTCACCTTACATCATGTGCCCAAAATAAGAGAGCTAGCAATATATGGAAGAAATAACAAGCAACCTCATATTCATTTTATTCATAAAGGTACATTGTACTAAATTTTTACTCAGAGAACTGAACTCCATAAAAAATAGAACTACCATGTATTTATAATAAGTATAAGCTAGGATTCAAGCATTACAACTCTCGATATGGAGGCATTATGGCTGTAAAAAATGAATAAATGCCTTATCGCTGTAGTGTTAGCTCTGTTGCAGCGATGTGTGATGTGGCATGGATAAATCTTGAATTGGTGTATCTATTCATTAGTTCAGTGAGACTCTTAGTAGTAGAAAATGTTTCACCATGGTGCTATAAAATATGAGCACCGTGGCACTTGGAATGACATTCCAGCACCATGGTGTTATAATGGTTAGTGCTCTTACATGAATTTTCTTGAGACAACAAGAACTATAATGTTTATTTTTGGCATTGCAACATTGTGTACACCGTGATGTTGGAGTTTCCAATATCGTGGTTCTTATAACTAGAGAAGGTCAATGTTGTTACATTAAAATTTGTGCTTAAATTTTCATTGATATGGCATTGTTGTATAAACCTTGTGCCACTCCAGTATAATTAACAGCTATAATTTTTACTTTTTATTTCATAATCCTTGTATAAACAATTATGAAAGAAAAAGTAAAAGTTTTTGTACAAGGATTATGAAATAAAAAGTTCCTCCAAACCATGCAAATGTTTTTAAACCTTCTTAAACATTAAACCATTCATTATTAAATATGGTTGAGTCAATGGTGGGCCATGGTTGACCCAACCCACATTGAACCCACATATTACCTAAATGAACTTTACATGTACTTTAATATGGCTTGCCTTTTCAAAAATTTTGGCACATTATTAATAATGATATTTTTGTTGCTATTTTGGATTTTTTTATTGGTAGCTCTATCCCCAAGTTTTTAACTTCTACTTGTATTGTTCTTATTCCTAAAAATAACTTTGTTAATACTTGGAATGATTTTAGAGATATCGATATTTATAAATTTTTTAACAAATTGATTTCTAAAATTCTCATGAATCTTCTTACTTCTATTTTACCTAAAATTATCTCTCCATCTCAGATGGGTTTTGTGAATGGGAGGGCCATTATGGATAATATTTTATTGGCTTAAGAATTCTGACAAGATTTGAATGTCAGAGTGAGAGGGGGGAATTTGATTTTGAAGCTTGATATTGCCAAAGGCTTAAGACAATATTGATTGAAACTTTATTTATCATATTTTAGAGTTTTTTTGGCTTTAAATCCGTTTTTATTAAGCTTATTAATAACTAAAATTGAAGATGTCTATTTCTGTATTATTTTTTAATTATTCTAATAATGGTTTTTTTAAATCATCTCGTGGTTTAAGGCAAGGTGACCCAATTTCTCTAGCTCTATTTATTATTGCTGCTGAATTTTTATTTAGGGTCTTATCAATCTTTTTGAAAATAATCTTAGTCTTTATTTTAGAACTTTGGGTGGTTTTCCCATATGTAATTTGTGTTTTGTGAATGACTTTATTATTTTTTTAATGCTTCTATTAATAGATTTCAAAAACTTATGGACTTTTTTTTTTTCAATTTAAGATGGCTAGTGGCTTATCTCTTAGCAAATTTAAAAGCTATTTTATTACTTCTAAGAGGATTCCTAATGATCATGTTTTATAAATTAAAGATTTAACTGGTTTTATGCATGCTCATTTACCCATTAAATATCTTGGTGTCCCTCTTTTTAAAGGTAGAAGGAAAACTTTTCTTTTTGATGATCTTATTGGCTATGTTCGAAATAAACTTTTATCTTGGGATTCTAATTTTCTTAGCTTTGGTGGTACAGTTAGTCTGATCAAAAGTGTTCTATATTCTTTACTGGATTATAGTTTTCAAACTATTTTTTTGACTCGAGTTATTTGTAATAGTGTTCATAAGCTTATCAATAAATGTTTTTAGAAAGGTACTTCTACTAACACCAAAATTACTCGGGCTACTTGGGATAAATGTTGTGATGTTTTGGTTGAAGGAGGATTAAGTTGCAAGAATATGAATGATTTAGCAATGGCTTTCTCATTTAAACTTTGGTATACTTTTCATGTTAAAGTGAGCCTTTGGGCTAATTTTATGTTTTACAAATACTATGTTGGCAAGCACCCTAGTACTTGTTCCTTTAAAAAGTGCTTGCCCAATTTTTAGATCTAGAAGAAATATTAAAGATATTTTCTCTTTGATTTGGCATAAGAGCATTCCTACTACTATGGTCATCTTTGTTTGGAGAATTTTACATAAATTTTGTTCCCATGGATGATAATCTCACCAAAAAAAGGTTTTATATTGCCTTCCAAGTGTCAATGTTATTACCATGTAGAGAAATGTATCAAGTTTAATTTTTAGCCCTGTTGCTATTAAAACTTGGGTTTATTTTGATGATTTGTTTCAGTTAAACTATTTTAAAGCTCATTTATCCATTAAATCTATGCTTAATGCTTAGTTTATGAATTCTAAAGGGCTTATCCATAAAGTTATTCCTTCTCTCATATTATGGTTCTTATGGTTGGAGAGGAATAATTCTCTTTTTAATGATGTTCGAATGAATCATCATAATGTTATTAAGAAGGAGAAATATAAGATTTTGTCTCTTGTTGCAGTTAAACTACTCTTTTTAAAGAATTTTAAAAACTAATATTTTGTTGAGACTGCTTTAGGCCTTAATTTGAAGGGTAATCCTACAGCTTTAAAGGATAATATTATTTATTGGACCAAACCCCACAGTAAGTTTTTTCAGTTAAATATGGATGGTACTAGAAGTGGCTCTTCTGTGGGATGTGGTGGAGCTATCAGTGATAGTAGCAATGGTAGCCTTATAATGGCTTTTATTGGTCCTTTACAGAATGGTAATAATTTTGCTGCTATCACCATGGCTATTCTTCATGATATTATGTTATGTATCTCTCTTAACATAACTAACTTGTTTAATGAGGTTGACTCTGATTATGATTTCAAAATTTTATATGCTGATAATGATATGCATTACATCCCGAATCTTTTCTATCAAGTTAGGGAAATTAAAAATCTATTACTTTTTTTAATTAGTCATTTCATCATATTTACAAGGAGGGTAATGTGTGTGTTTTTGGGCTTGCTAATTAGGGGTATAGTCCTGACTAATTTTCTGCTGTTATTTGGTCCACCATTCTGGTGGGTCTTATAGATATGTTTAAACTCGATGCGCTTGGTCTTCCCAATATTAAACTTAAGTGTTTTTTCTAGTTGATTTCTTGTTGTTCTCTGTCCGTGGGCCTTTTTTGGTTATCCTGGGTAGTGTGTTGGGTTGTGTGTTGGGGTTTGTTGTTGATTTTATGTGGTTGTCTTATTTTTATGAGTCATCGATCTGTTTTGACTCCATGGCATTATATGCTGATTGTTGGTGGTGTTTTTCTACAAATTTATTTGTTGATGAGAACTATCACTAGGGCAACTGGTTATTCTATGGGGTTGCTACTTTTTTTCTTCTCGGGTTAGCTGGTTTGCTGCTCTTTTTTAATTCTTCCTGGAGGTGTGTGGTATTTTCTTTAGTATGGATTGTTTTTATGGTCGCCAAGCCTTATGGTTTTCTGTATTGGCTTGAAGTTTGTTCCTTCTTTGGGGTTTTAT